TTTTTATACCAACAGAGGCTTTTGGATGAATTCTCCTGGAAAATAGGAACATTAACTTACTCGGCTCTATTGCTTAGCAATATTTCCTGAGCATAGTAATTGTTTCAGTAAGTGTTTGCTGAATGAATGAATAAATGAATAATTTAAGGATTGGAGGAAATAGGGAAGATCTCATTATACCATGTGTATGCTTAATCGCTCAGTCGTGTCCGACTCTGTGATCCCATGGACTCCAGCCCTCCAGGCTTTTCTGTTCATGGGATTCTCCAGGCAAGAATACTGGAGTGGGTTGCCATGCCTTCCTCCAAGATATCTTCCCAACCCAAGGATCAAACCCAGATCTCCTGCATCGCAGGCAAATTCTTTACTGTCTGAGCCTCCAGGGAAGCCCCACTATACCTTAAGACTATAGAAAGTTAAATAAACTAACCTTCATAGCAAAAGAATTTTTTTTTTTTAATAAGCTTTGTAGTTTATACTACAAGAGATCTTTAGGAAACTCACTGTGGTATATATCCTGAATGTTTCTTTTCTTGGCTAAGATGAACTGTAAAATATCATGGTTTCCAAATTGACCAGAAGTTTAGCTAACTCTGGTAGTCCTCAAATAGTTCTCTGTGGCAAAGATCATGACGAGGGATCACAAAAGGAACTCCCAAACCAAGTAGTTATTTCAAGCTTTGTGTGGGCTCCTTTTAATGAATTTTCCATAAACGGAAACCCACTGGGTCACTCGTGGTTCTACATACCAGAGAGCAAGCACAGTAGCAGGGGACTGACTGCATTGCATCATGCAAAAGTAAACTTGATGGAGGAAATATATTCCTGTATCCTTTAAGAAGAAGCAAATATCAATAGTCAGCTATACTGAAATCACATGTCATCTAAGAAATTTCCATCTCAGTTACCTTGGACAGGTGGTACTCTTATCACAAAGAAAGAAACATCATCCGTTCATCTGGACTTCAGGAAGGCATTGGGTGATCTCACTTCTGTGATCTCCTAACACTATGCTCTTGAGTCTGAATGAAAAACTAGCATTTTAGGGCTATGCAGTGTTAAAGGATTTGGTCAAAATATACTATTCTATGGCACATGCTCTGGGTGTTAATTCTGCTTCCACTAATTACTGTGACCTGGGATAGTTCCTCATTTACTTTTGTTCTTTTGTAGCTGGTAGACAGATACAGAATGGGAAGAGGCAGAAAGAAAAAATGGAGAGAAAATTCCATTTTAATGTTTATCATTATCACATGTAAAATAGATAGCCAGTGGAAATGTGCTGTGTGACACAGGGAGCTCAACCCAGTGCTCTGTGACAACCTAGAGGGGTGGGATGGGGAGGGAGATGGGAGGGGATTCAGGAGGGAGGGGTCCTATGTACACCTGTGGCTGATTCATGTTGATGTACAGCAGAAAACAACACAATATTGTAAATCAATTATCCTCCAATAAAAAAAAAAGTTCATCATGAAAAAGCAGCTTCTCTTATAGGAAACTATAATATAGGACACTTCAGGCTTCTGCAGAGACACCTATGCATGAGTCCTGGCTTTTGCAGATATTCATCAATGTTTATGTACTTCACACAAAAATTACTTTTATATTGTTCTTAGACTTTAAATGTTATCAGCTGGCAGAGGACACAGAGCCAGTGTTGAGATGGTCTGTCCTCCTTTGGCATATTTTTCATTGCTTTTCTAGAAAATGCAAAAGAAAGTGAGAGAGGGGATTGAGATGAAGAGGTTTATTAATTTTGCCCATTCTCTGTCCAGTAACTGGTTCCAGAAATTCCATGCAGGGATTGAGGCTAACCAGAGATGGAGAGCTAAGCATCCAATTTTGGCCACACAGAGTTCTGTCTTTTTACCAGAGTGGAAAATTTTCAAATAAATCACAGAGGCCTGATAGAATTTGCTGAAAACAAGTCTGCAGTTCCTTAAAGCTTTCCGATTTTTAAAAATGTATATCATAATTCCAGGCGATAGCCGAAGGGAAATGATCTTCACTATTATAATTGCTCTCTAATCCTTAAGTCAACCTAATTTATTATTTTTTTCTCTATGGATTCCTTTCACCCCAGCTTCCCTGTATTTTGAAGAAATGGCAACTAATTTCTTAAGCATGGTTTTAGAAAACCAACAGTGTCATGTCCAATTGCCTAGAAAAATACAAATTGCATCAGTATTCTCAGTCAGATCTTGTATTTGTGTGGCTGCTTCTAGTGAGGAACACATGCACCATCTGTGGGGTTTTCTCATTTCATCCTCATCACTTCTTGGTAAGAGAGAAAAGAGTCAGCTAATGAGTAAATGAGCTGCGTTGTCATGGGAAAGGCAGGATGATGGGAAATCAGGCAGGGTTAAGTCTCAGGACTGCCAGCCCTACCAGGATAGAGCTCACTCAGCCACAGTAAGCAAGATGAATGCCTCCCTCTGGATCTCTGAGCTGGCCCTCTTGAAAAAACAGAACCCTCAAAAGTGGCTTTTCAGGAAATAGAAAGCAAACATCAAGACAGAGAAAAAAATAAAAACATTTCTCATTGCTTTCTTGTGTCTTTGCAAGTTGCATCAGGAATACTTCATTCCCTAGCGTTGAAGATGTTAGAAATATTTGAGCCAAACCTACACAAAGGGCCTTGAAAAATATAGTACAATATTATTAGAATGACCAAGTAGCAACAAAGTTAGTTCATCTTGCTTCATTTCCTTCAAAAGATTGATCGTTATCTGTAATTATTTATTTCTTCACTTCTCTCTCTCCTCACTAGACTGTGAGCAGTCTGAAGAGCATCCTTGTTTTGTAGGTCACCATATGCTAAGACCTTCTACAATGCCTGGTACACAGTGGGTGGTCAAGAGACATATGTTGAATGAATAGATTTCTGAAAGATACAGACCAAACCAGAGCTTTCACTCACTACTGGTCAATTTCTTTCTCCTATTGTTGACCCACTTTATCTGAGCCAATTAAAAAGCCCTAGGGGAATTCAAGAACATCCTTTTCCCCAAAACCCTTGGGTCATGAGAGTGTCTTAAAAATATCGAGGCAGCCCCAATTTTCCACTGTAGTCTACCTTTGTTGGTTAGGGGTCCTTTACATTATAGCACTCTGAAAACTGCTCTCAGTTAAAAGGTCTGTGGCCCTAGGTAAGATATTTTACTCTTCAATTCTGGTTTATCAACTCATATTAGGTCCAAACAGCCTTGACACTAGTCGTGTCCCAATAAGAAATGAGGGCATGTGTGTATGCATGCTCAGTCATATCCCACTCTTTACAACCCCATGGACTGTAGCCCACCAGGCTCCTCTGTCCATGGAATTTTCCAGGCAAGAATACTGGAGTGAGTTGCCATTTCCTTCTCCAGGGGATCTTTCCAACCCAGGGACTGAACCCACATCTCTTGCATCTCCTGTAATGGCAGGTGGATTCAATTGCTTATTAAAATGCCCAGATGCTTATGAAAAAGGCCTTTCTTTACCTCTGTCATTTCTCATTCAAAAAGGAGTGCTGTGTGTCTAGCTTGGCACACTTTCCCCAAGGTCAAAGGGTTTCTGTGAGATTTCCTGAGTTCTGCAAAGAAGAGAGTTTAGAAAAACTTATTGTGTTTGGCCTGTCACTTCCCAAAAGCCTGAAAATAGTCACTGTTGATCCCTGTTCCAAAAACAAACAATAAAAGCCAAACAAACCACCCCTACACAGAAACAACACTTTTTCTTTTAATTAGTGTGAAGAGCTACTTCAGTGTTCCCTTGAAGACCTTTTGAGATCTAGAATACAAGATAGAATACTCATTTGGAGCCAACTTCAAAAGCAGGATTCTGGCCCACAAAACTGTCTCCACTATGCACACACCTCTTCAGCCATTATGGATAGAAACTTCTGAGACCCTGACTGCTCCCTCAAGTTTTCCCCAATTAACCTTAAGAGAGGTGATCATTTCATTTTCTAAACATCTAAACCTATGAGATTCAAGACTGCACTGATGTTCTGGAGGAAATATCAGTCTTAAAATTTTAATACTTTTCCAGCAGATTACCAGCTGCACAAAGATTACATCTTCCCACCAGCATATTTCTGGTAAGCATGCAGTACATATCTGCTGCATGAGTGAATGAATGACCAGAGTGAGTATGACCACCAACTGCTTACATATATGTGAAATCATTACATCTTAGAACCGGAAAACTAAAAGAAAAATATCTGGTCTTAAATAATACTACTGTGACCACCACCCCATATAAAGATTGTAATCTCTCCACCTTCCCCTCCATATTTCCAATCTTTTACTTGCTCACTTTTTTACAACATTCATCTTCTAACACATAATTCATGTATAATTTGTTATTAAAGTAAAGTCCATAAGACAGAGTTTGTTGACTATTTTATTCACTGCTATATCCCAAATACCCAGAACAGAGCCTGGTACATAACTATCAACAAGTGAATAAATGAAATAATATTTATTGTGTATGGGTTCTACAGATGGGAATCATTGCAGGACATTTTTAAACCCTCAGTCCCAATTTCATATCTGTAGAATCAGAATTTTTAGGAATATAAATCCCAGGAATCTACATTTTTATCAAGGAGTCAAGGGGTCCTGGTATAGCTATCCTGAGAATCTAGTTCACCCAACTCGCTAATCTAATGATTATCCTAAAACCCAGGGAGATAAAATATTACTCAAGGCACACAGGCTATTTAGCGGTGCATCTAAGTGTAATACTTTCTACTCTGATGAGTTTTCCACTCCAGCTATCTATGAGCTATGTTTTCCTAATATACTTTGCTGGTACTGCCATCATGGCCTTGGAGATTAAGCTACTTAGAGGCAAGAGTTATGGCTTCTGAACCTGATTTCTGTGGTCCGATCTCCGTAGGCAGGAAGAGCACGAGGTTCCAGGTAGCAAAGGACTCTGAGGTCAATGATGCTTTTGCACAGAAGAATCACCCCATTTCCATGCTAACATACCACGGTTTCCCTTTCTGCTTCTAGTTCCTAGACATCTCCATTAAATGGACCACCCAGGAAACCTTTCCTCCAAAGTACCTTCATTATGACCCCGAGAGCTCTCGCCAGCTGATGTGTGACAAATGTCCACCCGGCACCTTCCTGAAACAGCCCTGCACGGGCAGGCGGAAGACCGTGTGCGCCCCCTGTCCCGACCACTACTACACGGACGCCTGGCACACCAGTGACGAGTGTCTGTACTGCAGCCCCGTGTGCAAGGAGCTGCAGTACGTCAAGCAGGAGTGCAGCCGCACCCACAACCGCGTGTGTGAATGTGAGGAGGGGCGCTACCTGGAGCTGGAGTTCTGCTTGAAGCACAGGAGCTGCCCCCCTGGGTTTGGAGTGCTACACCCGGGTATGTACCAGCCAAGTGCATTAACATCACACAGAGGCAGGCAGTGGGGGAAGTTTAAGGGAACAAGCTGGTCCTGATGACACTACAGGATAGCAACTTACAAAGGTAATGGAATCTGCTAGGTATGTACTGTGTGTCTGGATGGCTGCCAAAGAACCATTCCTCAGAGGAGCACTTTGCCACGATGGGCCAATTTAGTGACAAATCTCAAATGCAGCAAGTCCCTCTCTAATGAGATGCATGATGGATTGCTCTTTCTTAAAGGGACACGCTCTTAGTTGCACCATTCATAGCTGATCTATATGTCTGTGTTTCACTTTGGCATGGACAGCCTCAGAGTGCAGTGCTTTTTGGACAAACATCAGAAATGTTAATTGATACCAAGAGAGTAATTATGCTGATATTAATGAGGCTCTGGCGTGCAAACAGTGAGTAGTTATAATTAATTATATAAAAAATGAGAATGGCTAGGGGAACTGTAGCTCATTATTAAAAATGAAGCTAGTTCTTCCTTTGGCAGGGGAGTTGAGTGTCTGGGAGGATAACGGCCATAGCAGCATCTCTTCTGTGAAGCTTATTCTTTATCTTAGACAAAGCAGACTGGCAAACCAAGAGTAAGTACTTGTCTACAAACAAAGTACTTTCTCTTTTTGCATTTTGAAGAGCAGAGATTAAGCCAGTTTGCATTGAATTTTTTAAAGCTGCAACCCACCTCTTTTTTTTTTTTCCCTACATTCATGAAGTTTCAGTATAGTCGGCATGTTCTCCTGGCCTGGAAAAATTAAGAGTATTCACTCACTCTTCTGGAGGAAGTAGTAATGGGTATAGATTCCAATTACTCAATTTGAAGCAGTGTTTCTCAGGCTCAGCACTAACTTTGGGGACTGAATAATTCTTTTCGTGGGCAGCAGTCCTGGGCATTGTAGCATGTTTAGCAGCATCCCTGGTCTTTAGCCACTAGATGCTAAAATAGTACTCTTTCCACTAAAGTGTCCCCTGGATGGCAAAATCACCCCTAGTTGACAACCGTGGGTTTAAAGGATGTGAATTATAACTATTTTGACTTTGAGAAGTTGCAATACAGAGTCTAAATTATTATCAACATTTTAGGTTTAATGACATACAAATTAAATATAATTCAAAAACTGAACTACTAAGTGTCCTAAGTTGTGAATTTTATAAAATCAGTCACAGAAGGTGCAAATTGCATGACAGCTCCTTAAAATGCCTCTAGTATAAGTCTTCGAGGGAGAAATTGGTGACACTTCCTAATTTTTACTGGATGACAATTTGGGACTCAAAAACTAACCCAAGTTGTAGAGGGAGAAGCCCATCCAACAGAAACAGATGCATTTAGTTCAATTCAGTAATTTATATATGTAGGAAAATTCATTAAGCAGGGCATTGCAGTTTGGAAACTAGAAAGTTTTGAAAAATAGTGAAAATAGTAAGAATTTTACTCATATAAGCATGAAAATCTGTTTGTAGAATGAAGTAAGCAGGCAGCAGAAGTCTTAGCACAAAGGTACACAGAGATTTATTTATTTACTCACCTCTCTCTGCTTAAAAACATACAAAGGAGTTCCTTATGGAAAATAAAAGGTTTCCAGACCAAAGAGAAGGCAAGATTCTGCAGTTTTATTCTAAAGAGTATTTAATATTCATTCTCTGTTGTTTTGAAGTCAGATTGCCTGCTCTTCAGATTTTACAGCTGACCCTTGAACAACATAACATGGGTTTGAACCTTGCAGGTCCACTTCTATGCAAATTTTTTTCAATAATACTACAGTGCTACCTGATCCCATTTGTGTGAATCTGTGAATGCAGAACTCTAGCTATAGAAGGCTTACTATAAAGTTATAATGGGGTTTTTCAGTGCAAGGAGTTTGGGTCCTCTAACCCACCATTGTTCAAGGATCAACTGTAGTTAGTTCTGTTAGTTGTGTAATTGCTTATGCCTAGCATGGTGAATTCTCAACTGAAAGGCAAAATTCCTCTTGCCATTCTGTTTCACATTTTGCCTGCCAGATTATACTTTGGGTGTTTCTCTTGACATTACTAAGGCAAAATCATTTACTTAGATGGATACATCCTTTTATAAGAAGTTCTATCAATCATGAGAGAGGGAAGTCCTTTTTAGAAAGGTCATTACATAAAGCCTCCACATATATTAAGAAACTTTCCTTCTATAATTCTTGGATTCCTCTTGGTAAGGAACTTTAAAGGCTAAATTACTTGGAAGAATGTCCTGTGCCTATGACCTATGACGTGTGTGAAGAATGACAGGATTCTTCTTTGTGAAGCTGACAAAGGGAGATTTGGATCCCAGAATATTCACAATAAAATAATACCATGCAGTCCATGCCCAAATACGTCTGCTTATGATACTGTAGAATTTGGTGTGGAGTTGGCTCCCCTTTAAGAAGAGGAGTGTGATAAGAAAGTACTAAAAAAAAGAGACCTCTTTGTAAGGTGGTTCCTAAGATGATGTCAGTGCAACCCTGGAAATGGCATTTAACATGTTAAAATTTCATGCTTGGTCTCCCCTTTTCTTTTTTTTCTGCCACCCTTCTGTCATTTTTACTGGTCAATGCATCATCAAACCCTTTAGAAAAGAAAGAAGCCAGAGGTGAAAATAAAATCCATTGTGTTCTTTTTTCCTTTTTTGGTAGAGGATACAATGAGATGGGAGGTTAAAAGTTTTAATAAATGAAGTTTATTAACTTTCTCTAACTTTCATTTGTCTCTTTAGTATTTGGTATCTTGTGTCAGCTAGAATTGGCCTGTAAAAGCTACATTTGAACATTGGAGTCTAAATCTGTTCAACTAGCTTACACTAGATGGAGGTATTTTCATATGCAAATACACTATAATGTATGAGCTACTCAGGCATAGAGTCAAGGGTTTTAAAGATGTTTATTTTTAATAGCATCTTGGGTTGTTGACTGGTTCAAGTTTTCCTGCCAATGATTTCCCCAAATTTATCAAGTAACTTTCCACCATGAAAGAAAATGCCCTTTCAGTCACCCTTGCCTGAAATTTTAACGACTGTGCCCTTTTTAAACTCAACAGTTTAAGCAAATGGTATATCATCTTCCATTTATTATGTAACTGCAGGCTTACACTTGAGTCCACGGTTAACTTTATTGCCACCTTCAAAAGTTTATTATAATGTTGTAAATTTTTACTTCTTGAGGTTAGCACACTCACGAATTGCTTCACAATTAGGATTCAGGAAAGAAAGAACTTCCGTAGGAATCGATTGGGATTTAACGATGTGGCATACCACGGGTACTGATTTCAAAGAATGATATTACAGAGGTTACACAGCAGTTATCTTTATGATTTTCCAGGGATAATTGTGTGGAGAATATGGCTGACAACAAGATCTTCCTGACAACTTCAGCACAGGCAGGACTAATTGAATATCCTACCCTTCTTTTCTTTTCTCTCCCATTTTGTGCTTTGTAGGTAACAACAGAACACATTTGTGTTTGTATTACAAGGAGGAAAGAATGCCTAAGGGGTTCACTGTAGAAGTTTTGTTCTGTCTAATGAAGTGAAAAATGAAAATGCCTGAAATTTCCTGTAACATAATAGTAGCAGTAAAAACCAAGTGAAACATCTTACCCCAACTCTGTTAAGATGGTTTCTGCTGCAAGAGTACTAGAGAAGAATGTGCTAAACGGCTTGATATTTTTGTAGGAACCCCGGAGCGAAATACAGTTTGCAAAAGATGTCCAGATGGGTTCTTCTCGAATGAGACATCATCCAAAGAGCCCTGTAGAAAACACACGAATTGCAGTGCATTTGGGCTCCTTCTAACTCAGAAAGGAAATGCAACGCATGACAATATATGTTCTGGTAGCAGCGAATCATTGACTCACAAATGTGGAATAGGTAATTATGTTTCAAAATATCAATCTCCATACCACCTCTGGGTTGAATACCAGACCCTCTGGTCCTTCTTAGTTAAACTTATATTTCCCCTTTCTTGAATTTTAACCAAATTGTGCATCATTGCTAAAGCCACAACTCAAAAATCTTTCAGAAAGTCTCCATCTTATAATAGTGCTCCAAACCCTGACTTTCACACTTGAATCACGTTACCCACAGAAAAGGGGTGGAGTAAGATTATGTTGAAGGTCACCTTATCAGAGTCCCAGTTGCAGAATGTTTCTAAGCTATGCATTTTTATCACTTTTGAGCACATCTGTATTATTAGCCAAAGTATAAACTGGCAACTAAGAAGCCAAGTTCTTGAGAGTACTTGGATTGGATTGTGTTAGTCGCTCAGTTGTGTCCAATGCTATGCGATGCCATGGACTGTCCCAGCCCTCCAGGCCCCTCTGTCCATGGGATTTTCCAGGCAAGAATCCTGGAGTGGGTTGCCATTTCCTTCTCCAGGGGATCTTCCCGACCCAGGGATCAAACCCAGGTCTCCCGCATTGCAGGCGGAGTCTTTACCATCTGAGCCACAGTGATAAAAATAGATGACAAATCAGAAATACAATACTGGCTTTGTTACCTGTGGTATTACTGCATCCATTGCACAGAAGTACTGAGTTCCTGTACATGTCTTAAACTCTATTCAGGAAGGGTCACTAGCTCCAAGTTCAAGGTATCTGAGTGCACCCCATGTTGGTGATGATGCTAATCAGGTTGGTGTCCTCATCTTGTCACTCCTACCACCACACTAATCTCAGACCTCCTACCACGGACTCATCACACCAAGGATGACTGATGTTTTAGTATTTAATTAGCTTGACTCTCTTCAAACATCTTTTTGTGCAACACAGATGTATATAAAACATACATTTTTTCTCTCTTTTATAAAAATCTTAGCTAAGTCATTCATCCTGTCTGCTTTCTTATTAAATGATGGAATGTGGGGAGGGATGGTAAAAGGCCTTTAACATTCTTTAACATTCTCTTTAATCCATTTATAATTTTATTTCTGTCACTCCTTGAATACTTACTATTTGCCATACACTTTTGCTATATGGGTTTTAATCTTTACAAAAACACTGTGAAGTTTGTTCAAGTTAATGTATGAACTCGAATGGCAGAGTCAGGATTCAAACCCAGACCTAATGAATCCAAAGACAGACTCTTAATCCCTAGGATAGACTGATGCTACCCAGACACTCAGCTTATTGGACCTTTTTTCTAAATGACAAGTTTTTGTGTTTGACTATTTTCCCACTTAATGTATGCTTATACTTCTGTAGCCATCCTTGTTCCCAAAGATACTATGTGTATGTGTGTGTGCAGAAAATAATATGCTATTTCAGGTTACTTTTCAGGCTTTCTTAAGACAATGATTTGACACTGGTCTTGAAGTAACTTTTAGGTACCAGCTAAACCTTTAACAGAATGTTTAATAGTTACATTAAAATATGTTAATATTATATTAATAGAATTTTTGCTGTAATTTTTTATAGCAATACTATATTCTTATTAGACATTTAGTAAATTCTTCCCCTCCAAAATATTCTAAAAGAATATTTCATGGGACTGAGCTGTATTGGCAATCTGCCTTTAAGACAAGGAAATAGAAGGTTGATTTTATTCAAATTTTTCATTTTAACATGCAATATTCTGGAAAACACAACTGTGTTGGTTTTTGTCCTTTTTTTCTCCGTCTCCCTCTCCCTTTCCTTCTTCTTCTTCTTCCTGTTATTATTATTATCCATTAGACATCCAAGAATCCAATTATTGAGTGAAAGTGAAAGTGTGAGTCGCTTAGTCATGTCCGACTCTTTGTGATCCCATGGACAATAGACCACCAGGCTCTCCTGTCCCTGGGATTTTCCCAGGCAAGAATAATGGAGTGGATTGCCATTACCTTCTCCAGAAGATCTTCCCTACTGAGGGACTGAACCCAGGTCTCCTGCATTGCAGGCAGATTCTTTACCATTGGAGCCACCAGGGAAGCCCAAATTATTGAGTAATAATTCTTAATCTTCGCACCTTCCTTTTAGACATGACCCTGTGTGAGGAGGCATTCTTCAGGTTTGCTGTTCCTACAAAGCTTACCCCGAACTGGCTCAGTGTCCTGGTAGACAATCTGCCTGGCACCAAAGTAAATGCAGAGAGCGTAGAGAGGATAAAACGGCGACACAACTCACGAGAACAGACTTTCCAGCTGCTGAAGTTATGGAAGCATCAAAACAAAGACCAAGATATGGTCAAGAAGATCATCCAAGGTATGGTAGCCTGAACTAAACAACTCAAACAGAAATCAGAACACCTGCTCATCATACAACAGAAATGAGACTATGTACCTGTTTAGTTGTATGGATGCTGTTTCCCTTTGGGAATTATTGTTGGACTGAAATAGTTTTCAAATGATAGAGGAGAAGCTGTTCCTAGATCAGTCATGCGAGGTTTTATTTTCACCTTCTCTGCTCTCCAATTTTTCAATTGTCTCTCTAGAAGGAGAAAATACATTTCAAATATAGGAATAAACCTCAGGAAATCTGACTCTGGATCCATTAGCAGGTGTGTGAGCATCCTGTCTGATCTATCTAGAAGTTCTTTAACCATTTTAGATCTTACCTTGCAATTCTACCAAGAAACTATGTGGTATTTATCTGGTAATTCTCTCCAGAAAGCCTCTAAGTGTCTTACAGGTATCCTCTCATTAATCCTCACAATACAGTCTATTTTAAAATTACCATTTTAATAGCACATGTCATGAGAATTAATGAGATAAGGTCTTTAAAGTGTTTGAGCTTCTTGGAGAAAAGGGCTAGTTAAATCCAAGTATCCTCATGTTTTAGTTTTATAAAGAATCTCCTTTAGAAACTCTGTGTGTGTGTGTATGTATTATGATGGGAGTGAATACAGAGGGGGAAAGGAAGTAAGTTTCATCCAGAGTGTACTATAAGCTTTGGGATACACAGAAGAGAAAGTTCTAACTTGAATTAGCATTGGGAGGACATGCTGGAAAAAAATGGTGGGGGGGCTTTCATGATGCAGTGTTAATGAGAATCCATTCTGCTCTTCACATGTAGTTAAATAAGGAATCCTACACAACTCTAAAGCCTCAAACATTTGAAACTGTAGCAACAGATTTTAGGAGACTAACATCTTTGACAGTTTAATGCTTTCACTTGTGCAGAGTAAACTTGTCTTCTGTTTTTGGCAAACAAAATGTATTCTTTGAAAGTATAATTAGCCCTGAAGCAAAAAGAAAGGAAAGGAGAGAAACAGAGACAGAATTGGATGGGACTGAATTCCCTGTTTTATAAATGAAGACTTTTTAGCCCAGAAAGATGAAGGGACTTGCCTTAGGTCTTACAGATACTAAATGACTCATGCCATCAACAGAAACATTACTTACTCCATCTATGTTTATGTCCTAGCTCATTACCAAAATATTCTCTAGGCCATGTGTATCCTACTGTTCTTTTAGTCAGTTCAGTTCAGTCACTCAGTCATGTCCGACTATTTGCAACCCCATGAACCGCAGCATGCCAGGCCTCCCTGTCCATCACCAACTCCCGGAGTCCACCCAAACGCCATGCCCATTGTGTTGGTGATGCCATCCAACCATCTCATCCTCTGTCGCCCTCTTCTCCTCCTGCCCTCAATCTTTGCCAGCATCAGGGTCTTTTCAAATGAGCCAGCCCTTCGCATCAGGTGGCCAAAGTATTGGAGTTTCAGCTTCAACATCAGTCCCTCCAATGAACATCCAGGACTGATCTCCTTTAGGATGGACTGGTTGGATCTCCTTGGCCTCGTATTATTGGATTTTCAGATCTCCTATGTGTTGATAATCCTCTGGTGCTATTTATTAAAGACTATTTGAAGCAACTAATTTTTCAAATAGCACATATATTGGTATCAATTAATGAAAGTTTATATTGCAAAATACTAACTGTATTTTTTCTAAAATGCTATGCTTTTCATTTCTCCAGATTTTCTTAGAAAACTGAAGTATAGTTTCCCACTGTTATTTTCCAAATGTGGGCTTTTCACAAAGCTGTGTTGGATGCCGAGAATACAGAAAGCATACTATCCTATTATAACACAAAATAATATTGAACTCAGTTCTCAGAAATAACTAGCATGACTTGAGCCTCAAAGGAAAGGAGGAGGTTAGCCTTAAAATTATTAAATGCTGGGGAACTCCCTTTTGCCTCAGGGTAGTTTTATACTGACTTTAGATAGACTATGTGAATGAATGTCTCGTGTTTTTGCTTCATTCAGATATCAACCTCTGTGAAAACACCGTGCGGAGGCACATTGGACACATGAACCTCACCTTTGAGCAGCTTTTAAAGTTGATGGAAAGCTTGCCGGGGAAGAAAGTGACGACAGAAGACATTGAGAAAACAGTGAAGACGTGCAAGTCAAGTGAGCAACTCCTGAAGCTGCTCAGCCTGTGGAGGATAAAAAATGGCGACCAGGACACGCGCAAGGGCCTGCTGCACGCCCTAAAGCACTTGAAGACGTACCACTTCCCCAAGACTGTCACGCAGAGTCTGAAGAAGACCATCCGGTTCCTTCACAGCTTCACCATGTACAGGTTATATCGGAAGCTATTTTTAGGAATGATAGGAAATCAGGTCCATTCATTAAAGATAAGCTGCTTATAACCAGAAATGGTCATGGAGCTGTTTCCTCACCATGGACCAGATCTAATGAATGAGTAGACTGTTTCTCAGGCGCTTGAGGAGGGAACAATGATTTCTTTCTCATCACCAAGGACTAGATTTGACCCCAGGGCCCAAAAAGAAACTATGGTGTGGAGAAAGAACTCGTATCTCCCCGCAAAGTATAATAAACCCCAAATAGTTATCCAGCTGACACATCTGGTCCAGTATCTACTGACTCTATTTTCTCTTGTTACTGCTTACAGTAATTCAACTGGGAATAAGAAATGAGACTCCATTGTGTCTTACTAAATATCAGAATGTCTAATTTAAATAGCTTTGAGATTTCAGGCTTTTATTTAAAAGCCATTTTTTTTTCTATAAAAGTTACTAATATATCTGTAACACTATTATAGTATTTGCTATTTATATTCATTCAGATATAAGGTTTGTACATATTACCATCCTGAAGGGAAACTGTGTAAGACTTAATTTTAGAAAGAAAAATATATATATTCTGTTTATTATTATGATACATGAAAGAGATAAAAATATATATTTTTAACAGAATGTTTATAGCATTTCCTAATAGATACTGCCATTCTTCCTGTGTATTTTTGTAATATACTTTTACCTGTATAAGCTGTAATACCATTTTATAGAAAATGCATTATGTAGTCAATTGTTTAATGTTGGAAAGTGTATGAAATATAAATTATCTGAATATTAGATGCTCTGAGAAATTGAATGTACCTTATTTAAAAGATTTTATGTTTTTACTACATAAACAGCATCATTAATTAAAGTTTTCAAATTATTTTTCATCGCTTTTCCTCTTGCTTTTATTTGAATGGGACATGAATGGATCTGAGGTTTCACAATTTTCCCTTTCTTTTATCTTCAGGACCATTTGGGAACACTGTTAAAAAGGCAGATTCCTGGGCCAATTTTTTGAGAAACTCTAGGGAGTAGAGCAGAAATCTGCATTTTTAACATGCTCCAATGTAGTTTTTATTACACTTAAGTTGGAGAATTTCTGAAGTCAAGTTTAGTAAACAGATGACACAAGCCATTTATAACTGCTGCCACTAGCATCAAGAGACCAAACTACGTAAGTTCTTTTGGTTGTCAGTAATAGAAACTGGTGGGCTTCCCAGGTGGCTCAGTGGGTAAAGAAGCTGCCTGCCAATGCAGGAGACCCAGGAGATGCAGGTTCAATCCCTGGTCCGGGAAGATCCCCTGGAGAAGGGCATGGCAACCCATTCCAGTATTCTTACCTAGAGAATCCCATGAACAGAGGAGCCTTGCGGGCTACAGTCCATGAGATCACAAAAAGTCCAACATGACTGAAGTACCTGAGCATGCAGGCATGCACTAGAAAATTGGCATTATTTAGTTTAAGAAAACATTAACTGGAAGGGTGATATATTTGGGTGAATGGTACTCCCTGCCCAAACTACGTTTATACCATAATCTCCAGAATCTGTCAATGTGCTTTAGAAAAAGCATCTTTCTTTGTACGTGTAATTAAGTTGCCTTGAGAGGAGAAAATCATCCTTGATTATCCAAATGGGCCCTACATCCAGTGGCAAGTGTCTTCATAAGAGACACAGAGCAGAAAGAAGAAAAGACAATGTGCAGACAGAGGCAGAGATGGGAGTGATGTGGTTTCAAGCTGAAAAGCCATAAGCTAGGGAAGAGAGGAACACATTCTCCCTGAGAGCCTCTGTAGGGAGTACGCCCTGCTGACATCCTAATTTTGGACTTGTGGCCTCCAGGACTATGAGAGAATTCATATCTGTTGTTTTAAGTCACCCAGTTTGTGGTAATTTGCCACAACAGCCATAGGTACTAATACAGGTTATATCTAAGCCTCAGAAACAGTAGAATGAAGATAACACTGGGCCCCTGGGTGGCAGAAGTTCCTACACTTTCTCCTAGTCTTATATTTCTGTATCTTTTAGTTCAAATTTCTAATTCCTAGCAGAGAGACTCTGGTTGTTCAAGTAGGGACTGGTGTAAATACATGGCCATTGAGGGTCTGTCTTCATCAGCTTCAGTTCCCAAGAAGGGGATATCACTGTGAATGGGGTCCACACCTCCTTTCACAGTCTGCATTTCTCTTTTCTGTGACTTTACTAAGATTTAGAATGTAACACCTACATTACAGGTAAAACCTTAATGTAGGTCAACCTTACCTTTGTGAAATCAGATCATTATGGCTGCTTTGACAGAAAGGTTATTGTTTAGTCTCTAAATCGTGTCAAACTCTTCGTGACCCCGTGGACTATAACCCACCAGGCTCCTCTGTTCATGGGACTTCCAAGGCAAGAATATTGGAGTGGGTTGCCGTTTCCTTCTCCAGGGGATCTTCCCAACCCAAGGACTGAACCCACATCTCCTGCACTGCCAGGTGGATTCTTTACCACTGAGCCTCCAGGGAAGCCCTTGACAGAAAGGTAGATCTTGGTAAATGTCACACAAGCTCACAAATCTGGGGAAATAAATGGCAGAGGTAAAGTTAAAAGGCTCAAGCCTGGAGAATCAGAGTCCCAAGCTGCAATCCTGGGAGTGGAAAATGTGGAAATTAAGTGCTGAAGGCATAAGTAAGAGGCAGGGGTTAACTAACAGCCAGCATGCTGCCTTCGGAAGCTCCACTTCTTCCACCAAAGTTCTTGTGCACAGAAAAGGAAATGGCCTCATGCACATCAGTTAAGTTGAAGAAACGTTTGGAAGTTTAATGGCATCAAGTATAAATCCTTTAAGTGCTAATTTGATTGGTTTCCCTGCCTGCTCCTTGGGTTGAGTCTGCCTCAAGCTTCTCCTCCAAGGGAAAAATAATATGTAAGTTCATGTCAGTTTCTCTCTTTTTTTAACTTTTAATTTTGAAATAATTTTAGACTTACAGAATCATTGAAAATATTATATAAAATATCCGCAGTAAGCTATTTTGTCAAATACACCTCAATTTCAGTCTGTCTGCTTTCTCATGAACAGATGATATTATGGATTTGGGAGAAGAATATCACATAGGTAACTGTCCTTACATCATACCAGGGGCAAATGATATCAGCATGACTACTGTTGATATGAACCTTGACAAAAGTGAATTTTTATATAAAATGTAACATATGTATTGTATTGAAGTCCCCCCCCTTTTTTTTAAGATATATGATTATCCACTTGTTCCTATAGGATCTGTTGGAAAGACTAGCATTTCTTTATTTAATTGCTTTTGTCTCTTTGTTTGGAGAAGGAAATGGCAACCCACTCCAGTGTTCTTGCCTGGAGAATCCCAGGGACGGGGGAGCCTGGTGGGCTGCCGTCTATGGGGTCGCACAGAGTCGGATATGACTGAAGTGACATAGCAGTGGCAGCAGCAGTGTCTTTGTTACAAATCAGCTGATTATTTCTGTGGGTATATTGCTGGACTCCATTCTATTCCATTTATCTATCAGTCTGTCTTTTTACCAATACCACACAGTCTTTATATTCTTCCGGTTTTGTTGAGATATAATCAACATACAACACTATACATAAGTTTAGGGTGTACAGCATAATGATTTGACTTATACATCATGAAATGATTATCACAAGTTTAGTGAAGACACATAATCTCATATAGATACAAAATAAAAGGGAAAAATATTTTTCCTTGTGATGAGAACTCTTAGGATTTACTCTCTCAACAACTTTCATATGTAATATACAGTAGTGTTAACTATTTAATCATATTGTGCATTGCATCCCCAGTGCTGTGCGTGCTTAGTCGCTCAGTAATGTCGGACTCTTTGCGACCCCATGGACTATAGCCCGCCAGGCTCCTCTTTCCATGGGGATTTCTTCAGGCAAGAATACTGGAGTGGGTTGCCATGCCCTCCTCCAGGGGATCCTCCCAATCCAGGGATCCAACCCAGGTCTCCCGCATTGCAGGCTGATTCTTTAGCCTCTGAGCCGCCAGGGAAGCCCAAGAATCCCAGAGTGAGTAGCCTATCCCTTCTCCAGGGGGTCTTCCTGATCCAGGAATCAAACGGGGGTCTCCTGCATTACAGGTGGATTCTTTACCAGCTGAGATACTAGTACATCCCTAGTACTTATTTATAGTTGGAAGTTTCTACCTTTTGACCATTTGCAACCAATTCCCCATCCCCCTACCTCTTACCCCCTGCTTCTGGTAGCCACAAATCTGATCTCTTTTCCTATGAATTTCTGTGTTTCTTTCTGAATTACAGTTGACTTACAACATGATATTAATTCTGGTATACAACATAGAAATTGGATATTTCTGCACATTACAAAATGATCACCATGATAAGTCTAGTTATCATCTATCACCATACAAAGATATCAGATTATTAACGTTATACACTTCGTCCCTGTGACTCATTTGCTTGGCAACTGGAAATTTGACCTCTTAATCTCCCTCACCTATTTTATTCATCCCCATACTTCTCCCTCCGGCAACCACTTGTTAGTTCTCTGTGTCTATGACTCTGCTTCTGTCTTTTTGTTTGTTCATTTATTTTGTATTTTAGATGACATATATAAGTGAAATCATATGACATCTGTCTTTCTCTGTTTTAATTTACTTAGAATATTATCCTCTAGGCTCATCCATGTTGTCACAAATGGTATGATTCCATTCTTCTTTATGGCTGAATAATATTTAATTGCATACATACACCACATCCTCTTTATCCATTCATCTATGGACAGCACTTAGGTGCTTCCATAGCTTGGCTATTTTAAACAATGCTGCAATAAGCATATGGTGCAAGTATCTTTTCATATTGGTGTTTTTTTTTTTTTTTCAGAAAAATATCCAGAAGTGAGATTGCTGAATTGTTTGATAGTTCTGTTTTTAATTTTTTGCATACTTCTTTGCATAGTGGCTGCACCAATTTACTTTCTCACCAATAGTACACAAGGGTTCCCTTTCCTCCACATCCTCAAAACTTGTTATTTGTTCTTTTGACAATAGCTATTCTGACTGGCTATCAAAA